GGGGCGGACTGACCATTTGGAAACACGGCAGGGCCCGGGGTCAGTAGGGGGCCCCATGAGATGCCTCTGCATTCACACCTAAACAGAGCGATTTGTTTTTCAGGAGATTTTACATGTGCTTTTTTGAATGTTTGTTTTTTCAAAGGGTATACAGGCATTTCTTCCTCCCCTTTTTTTTTTTTTTTTTTTTTTGTTTTTTTTTTTTTTTAAGAAGAGCATTTCAGGCATTTTACATGTGTATTCAAGCTTCTGGCTTTTTGTTTTAGCTAATGGAAATCACTGGGGGGAGGAGATCCATTAACATAGCCTAAAAAAAAATGCTCAAATCAAGCATTTTCAGGGGTTCCCATTGAAGTCTATGGGGACAAAAAAGCTCAACTCTGCCTGAAAAGTAGCTCATGTGCATTTCGGAGTGACAGGCGTTTTGTTACGAGCGACAGAACACTATGAACAGCTTGAAATGAATGGGATTTTGCTGCTTGTTTTGAGCTTCGAGCTACAAAACTGCATTCACACATGGGCATTTTAAATCGTGGGCAGATACGTAGTGATTCTGCCCCTGATTTCAAATCGCTCTGCTAAAATTTAGGATTGCAGAACCGCGTGTTCAGGTGCCATTCATGTTAATGGCACCTGAAAATGGATGGTGCAGTTCTCGCTCAGTCATGAGAAACAGCATTGCGGGAAGCATGTCACCCGAAAAGTTCCTGAACGTCTTTTGGGGGACGCACTTCACACGATGCAGTTTGCTACTATTGCAGCACGATTTATCGTGAGATAATTGCTGCAGAACCACACCACCTTTTCAGGTGCTGTTAAAATTAATGGCCCCTTAACCGCTTCCATGCCGCCCAATAGAAGAAATACTGCTACAGGTGAGCAAAATCGTGTGTGTGTGTGTGTGTGTGTGTGTGTGTGTGTGTGTGCAGTTTCGGGTAGTGGGTGCGCACATGCGCCCTACCCACACCGCCATTTGTGGCCTCAGCTCTCGATCACCGAGTCCCGGTCAGTGATTCCTCGCCGGCACCCGGCGATCTCCGAGTATTACTAACGGAGGAGAGACCTGTATGTAAACAATGCAGATCTCTCCCCTGTCAGCTTTGCACACTGCTTTGTATGGCTCTGCATAGAAGAGACATACAAAGCAGTGTGCTTACAGTGTAAAGCACACATAGTAAAACAGCACTCAGTTAACCCTTTGAACGCCCCACATATTAACCCCTTCCTGCCCAGTGCCATTAGTACAATGTCAGTGCTTTTTATTGGCACTGATCACTGTATTGGTGTCACTAGGGATGTCAGTGACACCAAGTCTGTTCCCCCTAGTGTCAGAATGCCTGCTGCAGTCCCACTATAAGCCGCTGATCGCCACCATTACTAGTAAAAAAAAAAAAAAAAAATTCCAGTATATATACCGCCATTTGTACGCGGTATAACTGTCACATAAAGCAATTAATTTACATTTGTTGGGATTTTTCTTTAGCAAAGACATGTAGCAGAATACACTTTGGCCTAAATTTATGACGAAATTAGATTTTTTTTTTTTTTTTTTTTTACTGGACATGTTTAATAGCAAAAAGTCAAAAATCTAGTTTTTTTTTTTTTTTTTCTCTCAAAATTGTTGGTCTTTTTTTGTTTATAGCGCAAAAAATAAGAATGGCACAGGCAATCAAATACCATTGATAGAAAGCTCTATTTTTGGGGGGGAGAAAAGGATGTAAATTTTATTTGGGCGCAGTGTTGCATGACCACGCAATGGTCAGTTAAAATAACACAGTGCCGTATTGCAAAAAATGGCCTGGTCAGGAAGAGGGGTAAATCCTCTGGAGGGTAATACACGGTTATGCGATTTTGTCATTTTAGCAGAGTGTTTTGAAATCACAGGCAGTATCACCTGCAATTCAAATCGCCCATGTGTGAATGCAGCCCAAGTGTGAACGGGGGCCTCCGTGAGCAGAACATGACATGTCCATGAACTCCTGAGTGACAGTATAATAGGCCCATATAAGTCTCTGATGACATTTGAGGCCATATACTGTATTATTTGAGTCAATTGAGCCACTATAAATGAATAGTACAGTGTGGTACACAGAACAACTGTATGTGCCATCACTGACTGCCATGGCCACCATCAGGACAATATAGAAAGTACTGCTCAAGCAGGTCCTTGTGATGAACCTATAGTCGTGTTCAAGGGCGGCCTGACAACTCATGGGGCCCCCGGGCAATAGGGGATCATGGGGCTCCTGTGTCCTTGCCCAAACTCAAAAAAGCCTATGAAAAAGGTACCAGGGGCATCTCATGAGGTCCCCTACTGACCCTTGGCCCACGGGCAGTGCCCGAGTTTCCAAATGGTCAGTCCACCCCTGGTCGTGGTACTTGTCTAGAACCTCCTGGATCTCTTCTCCTCGCTCTGATCACTACATATTGTTGATCTATCGGTCCACCAAAATGGTCTGTCCAGTACTGTGATGAGTTCTTTCTCTCGGTTTGCCGCCTTATTGATTAGGCAGCTGCAGAGTGCAAGTTCCTGTGTGCATTTCAGGAGATGACTGTTATGGATCATTTAGTAGGGATTTTCCTTTTTGGTGAAGATGAAGGGAACAGAAGGACACACTGCTAGGTTCCATCAATTCTCATATACCGTTTGGTTTAGTCTCCTGTTGTAGAATGTGATTGTCTATATACTCTATTTGAAATCTTGAGATATTGTAGCAGGAATATAATTCAGTCATGCCATTAATTAATATTTCATATCCTTTTCTGCCTGATGGCGTTTTTTCAGAATTCGTTACCCCATAGGCAAGAACAGGAATATTTGAGTTCTGTAATAATAACTCAAACCTGAGAACATTTCACATACCCTCTTGTTTAGCTATATGCAGTTTAGGCATTTTACAATGACTTTATTGGAATCTTCAGTTTGCCAAATTCTTCCCCTTTTGTACGCAGGGCTCAAACAAACCTGTTTGATAAATATATAGAAGTTGTTAGTGTCCTCCAATATTGTTAAGGATTAAACACAGTATGGAAAATTTTGGTACTGTATCCAAAAAAGCGAAACACCAGAGATATTTTTTTTTTTTTTTTTTTTGATGAGAAGATAAGCTTGGGTCAAGGTTAATGTGACACTAATTGATATCCTTATCCCCCAAAAATAATCCATACATGTCCACTACACTGCATAAAACGGACCGAAACCCATTGATTAAGGGCTTGCTCACACCATGGTGCAGATACATTTTTTTTTTTTTTTCTGCATGCATTCTGCAAGGGCACAACAGAATAAATTGTTCTCAATGTGCCCTTTTCACACTACAATACTGGTATCATGTGTGGATTTTTTTCTGCGCAGGAATCTGCAACGTGTATAAAATTCATTTGACCCTGGGTTGACACTTATGAAGATTTCAGTGTTTTCCAGCTTGCAGAAACACACTACAGTCCATTTAACATGATTTCCTATGGATCTAGTTCAGATTTCTATGATTTTGAGCCGATGCATTTTTTTTTTTTTTTAAAGGGTCAAGGACTTTTTTTCCCGTAGCAGATTGTGTTTTGCATGTAATAGACTTCAATGAACCCGCACCAATAACACAAGTGTTGTGTTTTTGCTGCATTTTGTGTTTTTTATTTATTTTTTTTTTTTGTTTTGTTTATCATACAGGATTTATATAGTGCCAACAGTTTTCTCAGCTCTTTACAATGTAAATACAATGACGATACAGTTCAATACAAGAGGGTTAGGAGGGCCCTGCTCTTGGAGCTTATTTCTTTTTTGCTAATAGAAAAGTATAGTTCTGTTTATGTAGTGCGACTTTGATGCTACTTGAGTGCCGGAGAGTGTAAAGTCGCAAGACATATGGAGAAATCCTTTCCAATACGCACTGTTTTCTGACAGCATTGTTAGAATATACTGATCCGCGCTGAAACCAATTGGGTGCAGCTTTTGATCGAATGAAAATTTCAGTAGAATTTCCCTTTCAACAGAAATCAATCGACAAAGCCATAGACGGATCAAAATTTGGGTGGTCCTTGCTGATCGGCTGAATTTCGATCCATATTTGGCCAACTTAAGATAGCAGCTTCCTTGGCTGCAAAGGATAGGAGAGTTTTTTTGGTTCCACTTTAATAGCCCTGAAATCTTTTTTTTTTTTTTTTCATAAAATTTGTTTCTTTTTTTTTTTTTTTTTTTTTTTTTTTCCTCCCACCTCCTTGTAACATTCTTCATGGGCTCCCAAACCTCTCCTTTACCCTGTACTAACATTTGGAGCAAGCAATGCATGTTAGTTGTGATAGTTTTGCACTGCGGTTTGCACACTACAAATCCCACATGTCCCTAGTCTGTAGTCTATCTCGGGAGTGAACAACAAGAGAAAATGGCTCCATTCCTACATACAGTGGGACTGTGGAGAATGAACATAGCCACCCTCTAACAGGAAAAACAATCACAGCAGCAAAATGGGATTTAGAGGAGGGTGAGAGGCACAGAATATATTTTTGAGTTAAGAATACATACTTGATTTAACCACTTGCCCTCCAGAGGATTTACCCCCCCCCCTTCCTGACAGGCCATTTTTTGCGATACAACGCGGTTTTTTTAACTGACAGTTGCGCGGTCATGCAACGCTGTACATAAATGTACATTTTATGTCATTTTTTTTTTTCCCCACAAATATTGCTTTCTTTTGGTGGTATTTAATCACCTGTGTGGGTTTTTTTTTTTTTTTTTTGCGCTGTAAACAAAAAAAGACCAACAATTTAAAAAAAAACAATATTTAGATTTTTTTGCTATAAAACATATCCAATAAAGAAATGTAAAAAAAATCTTCATAAATTTAGGCCAAAATATATTCTGCTACATGTCTTTGCTAAAAAAAAAAAAATCTGAATAGGTGTAAGTTGGTTTAAATGAAAGTTATAGCTCCTGCAAATGGCGGTATCTATACTGGAATTTTTATTTATTTTTTTTATACTAGTTATAGCAGCAATCGGCGACATATAGTGGGACTGCAGTGGGCATTCTGACACTGGGTGGGAACTAAGTGCCACTGACATCCCCAGTGACATCAATACAGTGATCAGTGCTAATAAAAAGCGCTGACACTGTACTGATGACACTCGGCAGGAAGGGGTTAACATCTGGGGCGATCAAAGGGTTAACAGTGCTCTGTGTGTGTTTTACATTGTGTGCTGTTTTACTTGGAGACATGCTGCTTTGTATCTCTCTGCTTTGCAGAGAGGTAGAAAACACGTCCATGCTGACAGGAGAGAGACCTGTGTTGTTTATACACAGCTCTCTCCCCTCTCAGCTTTGCCAACAATCACTGAGTCCCAGCTGGAAATTGGCAGCCGGACCCGGTGATTAATATCGTCAGGGGCCAACAGCAGCGCGGGTAGGGTGGCACGCATGTGCCCCCTACCCAGAAATGCACAATCATGTATATTTACATGATTGTGCCACCCTGTAGAAGTACAAGTGGTTAATCTGCACACACAAAAGTTATTTTTCCCAACAAATTAATTCAAGACCATTGCAAAATGAATATACCCCAATGAAAGTCTTAAGATTTTGTTGTGTAAAAAGCAGCATGTCCATGCTGACAGGCGGGAGACCTGTGTTGTTTACACAGGTCTCTCCCCTGTCAGCTTTGCCGAGGATTACCGAGTCCCGCTGATCGATATATCCAACAGAGGTGCGGGTAGGTTTGCGCGCATGCACGCACCCCCTACATGGAAATGCAAAAAATCACACATACATGTGATTTTGCTCAGCCGTGCCGCTCTGTAGCAGTAAATCTGCTATATGGTTCCTGCATATAGTGGTTTTGTACTTCTGCCGAGCCATTATATTCTCCCAGTGGGAGCGGCTCAAGGCAGTGATTATTGCTAACGGCTATACTAGACGTTCGCGGTAATTGAATGTAAAATCCCGCAGTCTGGTTGTACCCAAGTTGATTGGGGTTTTCATGAGCTGTAAGCCATAATCATCACAATTATGACAAATCACGGCTTGAACTATCTTGCTTTGCATGTAATGAGTCTATCTCATATATTAGTTTCACCTTTTAAGTTGCATTACTGAAATAAATTAACTTTTGCACGATATTCTAATTTTTCGAGTTGTTATTATTATTATTATAATACAGTATTTATAAAGCGCCAATAGTTCGCTCAGCGCTGTACATTACAAAGGGGGACAGAACATGTGACAGAACAATACCAATTCACCTGTATGTGTGTGTATACGTGTGTGTATGTATGTATATGTGTGTGTGTATGTGTGTGTGTATATATGTGTGTGTATATATATATATATATATATATATATATATATATATATATATATATATATATATATATATATATATATATATATATATATATATATATATATATATATATATATATATATATATATATATATATATATATGTATATGTATGTGTGTGTGTATATATATATATATAAAATGTATGTGTGTGTGTGTGTGTGTGTAATATTTTTTTTGGGCGGGGGGATAGATACAGTTTAAAGCTAAGCTACAATTTAAAATCCAAAATTCGCAAGGGTTACAGGACCATTTTTGTCTGCGGAAAATGAAAAAGCAGTTTTGCTTACCCTATTCCTCGCTCCCTTGGCAGCCAGTTTCTCCTCTTCTGACACCTTAGGTTGTGGCAGGCCTTCAGCATCCTCGCTTATACTGGTGATGCCTGTGATTGATGGAGCAGTGAAGAGAAGCGGCTTTGTAGGACCATTCGTACAGCTTGGAGGAAATTTTCGGAAGTGGTTATAAAGTAAGTAAAAACTGATTTTGTACAATTTTCAGGCATTATTTAATAATTGCAGTGCAGTGGTCGCCATACTGCAAAGGTGACTGGATTTCAGCTGTAATATTTCTTGGAAATGTATTAAGCCGGGTGAGCTTACATTTTCATGTTTTCTGGGAATGCCTAAAAGGAATGCCCATGATGAAAATAGTTGCTTCCTTATCAAAATATCTGTTGGGGCATCTAATGCATAATGACATAAAGGTATTGTCTACCTATGTCACCCATGTTTCTTGTTACACCCGTATTTAGGATATATCTGTTACGTTCACCAACCCAACACCCTCGAACCATTCCCCATTTACTTATCTTAATCACAGGGTGCTTTTCCCTGCAGCCTTCAGTCTGAGTTTGATTTCAGCTGTGCATGGCTCTGCCCGCACATGTTGTCATCCATTCATGGGGATCCATGAATAGAAAGACTGCAAATACCACCTGCCACCATGGCAGAGAGACTTGTAGATCTCAATGAAGCACAAGTGCGGTGACGTCACCACGCTTGCAGTTCATCAATTCCTCTGGCCCAATAGCAGTAGGTTTGTACCTCCATATGGACCTGGGGCTAGAGGAAGAGTCAGCAGGAGCCTGTTCATTCGCTAAGTGCAGTCGCTATGCTCTGCAGGCCTAAATACAAAAATAAGTAAATGCACTTTTTTTTTTTTTTTTTGGTCATTTTTTTTCCAAAGGGTGGACTATTACTTTAATCAATTGGTACGTGTTGTAAAATGATTTCCTTTTTAATAAAAAGGGCTTTACATATTTTGACGAAAGACAATATGTAGTTTTCCTAAAATGTAGGATTTCACTTCACCCTCTAAATTGTCTCTGATCACGTACATTACTGAAGTGTGCACTGGAATAGAAATCTGTTAGATATACTTGCTTGAGTATGGAGGCCCTGGGTGCAATCTTATAATTCATAATATATTTTTGTTAATGTTTATAATCATTTTTTTATTAATATTTTTAGAGATGATGAAAAAGCTTTAGGCTGCATGCACATGGGTGCATTAAATACTCCTATCTACACTGAATATTTCCATCAGAAGCTGTCAGGAAAAAATGCTTGTTTTGGCTCATAATTATACGTGTTTATGGGCATAAGTGTTTGGAAGTGTATGCGTGTGTAAACTTATTGAATTAATATTAATTCCAGCCACTAGAATGATTGCGGACACATTTACATGCACTTATACACGTTTTTGCATGTCAAGGAGAGCTATCATGATAGACGAGGCCTAAATGGCTTTTATGATATCAATTATCCCTATTTATAGTGTTACTAAACCCACAGCAGTAAAATCAATCTGTAAATGCAGTAAAGCATGCGTGCTATACTCACTCTGGAACCTGAGGAGTTAATCCTCTGCATTGTGTAAAAAGGCTGTTTGATCCTGTCTTCTCTGATCCTCCCTTCTACTGTCCCTAATCCATCTGCTGATAGAACAGAGCCTAGGGGGCAATCTGCATATGCTCTGTTTGTGGTGTGTATTACTAGAGGTGTGTTTTTTTTTTTTTTTTTTTTTTTTTTTTGAGAGAGAGTGCATGTAATCCGCACAGGGCCAATCAGTGCTGTCAAGCGGGTCAGGGGCTATGCAGCCTCCTAGGACAATCAGGGGAGAATTAAAACTCCTAAAAAATTAAAAAGTGTTTGGCTGGACACTGATAGAAGTCACAAGACTGCTATATACTGCTGATAAGAAAAGGTATTTAGCAGTTTATATTTACTAAAATAATTGCATTTCCATGTTCTGTGTACTGTGGGAGACCAGATATAGTGAATACAGGGTCCTGGGTTTAGTAAGACATTTAACTTTTAGTCCTCATGCACACTGGATATTTTTACAGCTGCTGTTTTTGGCTTTTGTCATTTTTTTTTTTCTACAGCCAATAGGCTTTAATCAGTGTTTTTTGGCTGGGAAAAAAAAGTACTAGTGGGTTTCTAGAGGAGTTTTTTTTAGATGTAAAAACACTTTAATGCTGCAAACTAGTGTTTTTGTGTGTTTTTTTTGGAGCCAAAATGTGTTCCTTTTTTTTTTTTTTTTTCTTTACACAAAAAAAACCCCAAAACCACTAAAAAAAACCTCAGAAAAACACGTCTAAACACTAATGCAATAATTCAGAAAAAGTTTATACAGCTAATGCTACTGGCATTTTTAAAATCACTAGTGTGCATGAGGACTCATTGTATTCCTAATGGGTTTAATTACCTTGCAGTCCACAGTGAATTGGGATTAGCCCATGGTAAAACATTTCACTCTATGAAGTGTGGATAACCTTTCTAGCTGTTTATTGTTAACAGACATTGAGATGATGAGCAAATTCTGATGTACTGCAGTGTTCCAATCCAGACCTCCTGTTAAGGCATTCAATTAGTCCTTTTCAGATTTGCTAATAACCGATCTGGGCTCAGCAGGCTTTATGGTCCTGCTGGAAAATTGTGTATTCCTGAGTCCCTGGAGGGGGTCACTGACTGTGGGGTAAGCTGGCTCTTGTATCTAATATACTAAAAAAAAAAAATGTCATGGCTGACTTATGAGTTTTGAAACAACATGGCTGCCCTGTGTCTTCTCACACCAGCTTTTGGGGTGTCCAGTTTGCATTCTCTTCACAGGAAGAATAATAATTTAATAAGGGGGTAGCTAGTTTACTGCAATGTAGACGTCATCGGGTAATTTAACACCTGACTCTGTAACCTCAGTAAAGAGTGTAAAGCCAATGGACTAATATTAGTTTTTCTAACCTTGTTTTTTTTATTGAAGTTTTGTGTTTAACAATTGTAGAGACAACATTTAGCTGCACAAGAGAACATATTTGCAGGATACAATGCGCAAAAATCGCAGTATGAATGAAAAAAAATGGTGCAAAATATTGTAGTACCAACTGATTAATTTTAATTTTCGGGTATTGTGGCCGTGTGCTTGTTTTCACTTACATTTTGTAACATTTACACCCATGCTTTTTTTTGTTTTTCTTCCCACCAGGAAAAATACATTGTCAAATATCAAAGCAATTATACCCAGCTGGTGCTGTACTTTGAATATGTTGAAGAGTGAGATATCAAGCAGACAATTAGAGAGAAAATTGAAATGAACCTTGCTATTGAATCACTTTGCATGGAATATTCATGTAACAATACCCATGGCATTGTAAATTCATTTGTATGCAAGCCAGATTAAAATCAGGTGCACTTAAAGGGCTATTCCGGGCAAAAAATTTAACTCTGTTTGTAAATATATAATGCTATGCTGTGAAGTTTGAAGAAAAGTCCACATTGTTTTTCCTTAATCTATGTTTTGTGTAATTCATTACGGGGCTGTTTTATGTACTTGGGTGACACTGAGATATCGTTTTACATACCAACAATAAGAAGAGCCAGCACAAGGGGTTGGACAGCTTTAAGGGTACACTAAACATAAACATTCTATTCCCTGCTGAGTGTACTGGGACCTCAGAGGCCCTCTAGTATGTAAACAGCAACCGCTTCTTGTGGTTGCCAGCTCTGACTCACCCCATCACATCCATCACTTCAATA